TCTTTTATTTCTATATGTACATTTCTATATGTACCCATTTTTTACTTTTTTTGAAGTGTGTTGTACCGTGTGGTTTTGGTGTTTAGGCCCACCCATACAAACATATCTGTATATTTATCTTTAATATATTAGCCCTTGGGCTTTTTCAAAAAAAAAGAAAGTAAGTGATATTTCTAAGACTTTAATTATTAATTATGACACAATAGGTGAAATACTTTATTACTATCAATAAGGACCATTCGATCCAGTAGGATCAACTCCTTTAACTATGTAGAGTAGCATCCATGACAATCCAAGATAACAAAATCATAAGATCTTGATCAAATTCTTCACATTCCCCCCACCATTCATTCTCAGCTCATAGTGACAAATTTTCTTAATATAAAATTAATTGTTGCTCCTATACACCAAGAAATTAGCTCCCTAATGACTAACATTAATCAAAATTTATCTCATTATTGAGCAAGATAATTAATCACAAAAAATTGTTTCTATGGGAAGCCTCAAATTTGATCTTAAAGTCATTGTAAAATGAGGGAAAAATATTTAAAAACTATCTTATGTATAATCCAATCTTCCTACTAGAAAATTTGAACCAGAATGAACACCAAAATTCTCCTCATCAAGAAAGGCTAGGATGTTGATTTTTTATGCCGACGAAAAATTTTGAAAAAATATAAATTTCAGCAACAATCGAGATTCATTCTACTACAAACAATTAAGCATGTGTTAACCTTAACGAAGATCCAATCACACAAGCAGACTAACCACTAAACAGATTAATAGCAAGAACCGAGTACAAGACACCCAAAAAAGAATATTCAAGCTAGTACCAAGAGACTCAACCTCAAAACTAGTCATCAAGTTTTATGAAATGCTCGAAAAATACATATCTAACAAACACAAAAATTGAGGAAATCTAAAAGTTTACTTAAACAATCAATTATCAATAAATTAGAAATGTCTTGAGACACAAAATAAGAATTTAATCCAAATTTAATGTCTATATAGATTCAATGTCAACTTCAATTTAAGGTCTATTTGATATTTAGATTCAAAATTAATCTCACATTTAAATTCGCCCTCAAACTAGAATTCTAGCTCCTATTCATATAAAACTTCAATTTCAACAACATATTTAACTTCTCTCTTAGATTTTAGTTCATACATAATTTTTAGATGAGATATCATGCATGCTCATACTTGATTTCAAACCGAAAATTTGGACCCTTGCCCAATTTATAGCCCATGAAATGTTAAAAATAATAAATTCCTTAGAACTCTCTAACATCCAATAAAAACAGCATGCTTCAATTCTCCAAAACTTGGAACAGTACAAACTTGTTTTAGGTTTCATAATTTCCATATGCTTATTGCCATAAAAAGAAAATTTAAGATAATAAAGCCTGTAGTATTGTAGACATCAACATAATAATAAGAAAATTGAGATTGAAGCAATCCATTGCCTTCCATATAAGACTCAAATATCAACAATTGCAAGGAATTTGAAACTAAAGAAATCAAGGAGCTACCATATATGACTCCAGGTATATAACAATGTTTGCCTCTTTAGGCCCCTGAGAATATAGCAATTCATGGCAATTGAAATTCTAGTATTACAGAATTCAATAATAGGAATTCCACAATAGCTGCCTCGTTAGGCCAACCAAGCCACGAGCCATCTACATTGCATATAATTTTATTATACAAGGTTTAAAAAGACAAAATTGAGAAATTAAAAGTTTTGGCTTAACAAGGTAAGTCATGTTTCTCAAGGCGCCTCAGAATAGAAAATTTTAAGAACTCATGAAATTAAGAATAATTCATAAATATGATATAAATCACCAATATACTCTTATTTTATAATCATAAAGACAAACCATAGAATCACATAATAAGAAATAGAAAGCAAATGTTAACCTTAAATTTTAATGTATTAAAATAAAATTCAAGCAAGCACTTATTAGAAATTTAAATATGCCAGGAAGATTATGATCCACAATAGGGTCTTCACTTTTAACATCCTTAGAAACGTTATCACATATAATAGTTCCATCACCCACTAAAAAAATCCCACCAATATCTTCAAAACCATTTTCAATTACAATATTTTTTTTTCTTACTCAATGTATCTTGATTTAGAAAAAAAAACAAAGTTTATGAACAATGATACTTTAATCGACCACAACTCATTTGGTCATGACTCCCACTCAATCTACTATATAGTCACATACAAACGGGATGCTTGACCCAAGCCTACAATCAAATGATGTATCTAAACTAATAGAATCTGCATACTATATCTAAAATAAAATATATAAGTATAATATAGAATGTTAGATATAATATAATATATGAAATACATAAATAACACTTCCTAAAATCAGTTCTTTTAGATGTGTGCCTCAAATGCATTAAGACGTACAACTAGATTTAAAAGGGCACAAAGAACACTAGTCACAAAGTTGAAGCGCGAGCCTTAACATATTTTTTGTATGCCTCATATCATAGTGCACTTCACAGCATACATCTTCATTATCTTTCCAAACCATGTCATTAGGACGTAGTGTATTGATTTATGTGAATCCTATACTTTGAGATCAATGGATAACATTATAATATCCAAATTGTTCTATAAGCTAACCAGACCTAGGATGTTCAGATTGTTTCAAAATAAATTGAAACAAGCCAAAAGATTTGTACTTATAGTTGAATGAAAGTAATCAAGCAGGTTCTCAAGGAAGATAATTAAAATTAGCAACCTTAACAAAATATTTCACCTTAAATTGCCGTCATATAGATAAAAAACGATCAATTACGTCAGCAACAAAACCACTTGAATAATTATGCACTCAAATTCACAATTTTAGAAATTGAAAATGGAAAAGCTTGATTTCATACAGATGCCAACCTGGTGAGTCAGATAGTGATTAGGATGATTAACAGAGAAGAAATGCTCAACATGCTCGCTTACTGATTCATCAGGATCAGTGGGAACATTCCTCACGAGGACCTGCCAAAACCAAATAGGAAAATTATTTAAAAGAAAAATATGGGAAAAACAAGAACAATTGGAAATGGTACGAAAGTGAAGATGACAAGAAAAGACAATAAACAGAAGAAAAATTGAAACTAAATCAATCGTTAATTCATTAAAAAGAAAAAAAAGGTATTTCCTAAAAGACAAAACTTTAAGAAAGTAACTGTGCACTATCATATATCTAACACCTCAAAATGCATCTAAAACAATAATAAAAAAAATCATTCTGTTGTTATTAACTAATGTTATTTTAAGCAAATTGCAACACATATCAATTACGAGTCATCACACGCGCCTTGCAAAACTGGTACTCTAGCAATCTAAGGTTATTTTTTATAACTAGTTTCCAACAATAAAGGAAAAAATGTACGGATAGTTTGATTTGTGCATGCATGTGGAATGGCTAGCATGATAGAGAAGAAATTTTGGGTAGCTTTTACTCCTTCCAACATGTGCCATATTATTTGTAATCCCTTCATTAAAATCTTGGACAAGTGCTTCAGCTAGAAAGGAGCATATACAGAATACAAGCTAATGTCTATATGCTGCACAAAACCAGTAATTTTGCTGCAGGGATGCTTGAATGGATATGTTTGTCTTCAAAATGTACAACACTACAGAATTGTCTTTGGTACAATTCCGCATCTACAGGGCGTGTAGCGCCTTGGAATATCACAACCAGCTAGCGCCAGTTCCATTAGAAGGAGAGAGAAAAAAAAAGGAAAGATGAAGGGGAAGAGTCGGCGTGAGTAGGGAAGTTATAAGAGGCACGGGCGATTATTAAAGACAAGTGAGCATGGGTGAGCTAGTATGGTAGAGATGAAGAAGAGTAGGAGGCGAAGTGAGCATCTCTACATACAATCTCGAAGAAAGCCAAAGCAGCGACAACGCAAAAGCAGGGAGAGAGCAGAGGACTGAACCCACAAACGAACAGAGGACTGAAACCACAAACAGGGCTAATTCCCTCCATCTTATCAAAAGGTAGATTTCATATTAAATTTATAAATTGTATAATAAAATATTTTAGAATTTGGAAATGTTAAGGATACTATTGTATCATATTATATATATATATATATATATATATATGAAACTTTTAATGAAATTTAAAATATTATTAAACTTGTATAATATTGAATATTCAATGGTTAATATAATTGACTAAGAAGAGTTGAAGTTATGAAAATAGGAAAATTGTTTAGATAAAGAGAGAACAAGAAAAACTAAATTGAACTCATAAAAAATTAGATTTTATAAAAGAATATTAATATTTCAATTATAAATAGAAATATATTATTTTATTAATAATAATAATAATAATAAATTGACCAGGATTAATATTTTCAGTATTGTTCAAAACATTAAGTTGTTGAACGAATATAAAACATAAGATTTACATAACATATAGATAAATATGCTTATATTTATATATCTAAAAGTATTACTGAAACTTAAAAGTTAAACATATATAAAATAACTGATATTTTATTTAAATTCAAGTTTAGAGGAGAAAATTAAATTTATAAGAAAATATTAGTATAAACTTGAACTTAAGTTTTTTTTTTTTTTTAATCTCAATCTCTCAAAGTTATTTTAAAAATGTTAAAATTATATAAATAATGTGTAAAATAGCTAAGTAAAAATATTAGCAACCAAGGTAGTGAAACATAAGTTTATTAATCATTGTTTATTTTTAAGTTGATTTAAATTTAACTCGTTATTGGCTTTATCAATTATCTGGTGCATTGCAATATAAAAATAGGTTGTATTTCACTTAATGTTAATGATATTTTAAAGTAATTTATAAATTAGGATACTATATAATTAATTATTAAGATTTAGACATTAAATATAAACTGACAAGAATTCTATCGTTCTTACGTAAGACCCTTAAAATGACTGACATTGGAGTTAACCCAAACCACAATAATAAAAGTAAATATTATTACTGGAAGCAAATAGACGATTACAATCAAACACACTTGAACGGGAAAATGTAACACACTCGATAGGCAAACTCGTGTTAGAACGAATACTGGGTGATGGTGGTGACGGTCAGCAGGCTCGGCGAGGTGGTAGCAAGATAGAGAAGGGGGTTTTCGAGCGGTGTATGAGAAGAAGTAGCGATTATGGGTGGCTGAAATAGAAGGGCAACAAGGGATGGCAATCCAAAACAATATCAATTTGTTATTAGGGGTGGCACGACAACAGAAAAGCATGAAATGAGAGGCTTGTAGTAATGACAACAAGTTGGAACGAGGGAAACAACTAATCAGGTGGTTAGAACAACAAAAATGACAATATCCGGGCGGCAGCAGCAGCGGCAGCGGCGACGGCGGTGAAGGCATAGGACTATGGAACAACCAAAGGAGGACTGTCCTAGGGCTGCTGCAGCAAGGAGAACGTCTAAACGGTGAAGAATTACAGGAAGAACAGCAACATGATTGCTATCGAGGCGATTTCGGTGAGAAGGCGTGGTAGCAAAGCGAGAGGGATGTAAAAAAGGGATGGCAAAGATAATCATCACCAAGAAACTAAGATACAACCAAAGCACCACCTGAAACCTTAGAATACAACACTCAATGGGAAGAAAGATGCTGGCAATTGCCCTGATACAAAAATACAAAAATTGGCCTAAAACATGAAAAAATAACATATATAACACTAGGGTAACTAAAAAGTGGCTCCATAGGACGGGCAGCAACCCCAAGCAAACAAGAAGGTCAGTTGGCCCTTGAATTGCTTGAACCGAGAAGTTCAGACCGCGCTTGGTATGGTTTCACATGAAGCAAATGTCCCACGCCAGTGGCATGGTTATGCGGGGGAAAAAGGCTCTCCCTCATCAATGACTTTAGATGAATATTCAATTCTTCTTCAGCACCATTGGTATTGTTGTCAATACTATGATTGCTTTTTAGAATCAGTTTCGTTGAGATGTCCGAGCTTGAGAGATGCAAATCATATTTAACAAGAAGAATTTGAGCATGAAGTTTTGCAAACTACTTTATGAAACTTATGGTAAGTACTCAGATTTTCCATATTTAATCTTTTTTGCACTTTCGAAGGAAAAGAAACCCACAAGGACTTCCAAAATTCTGTAAAAATGGAAACAACCTTTATGCTTAGACTTTGATTTGCAACAAGGTCAAGTATTTTCTCACCATCTTTTTCATGAAACAACATCATCATTAGCTTTCAGCTTTTAACCATTTGATGTGAGCTTTATGCATCTTCATCACCATTCCTTCTCCCGAGTGTTTCATGAGGTGATAATTCTATTTTTTTGAAAAATATTTTTAGATCACTCCCGCCCTGTTGCCTTTGTATACAATTTTCCTTCTAAATCCTTGCACTAGTTTTTCTTACATTATTGTCCATGCTAAAATAGTCCAAATCTATTTCTATCACCTCATCTTCAACAAGAGCTATTTTAATCCTTCCTTCAACATAATAATTTCTAAATTTATTCATCCGCTTTTTACCACACATTCATTTAATATTCTCATTGATTTCTCATTCAGTTAGACTATTAATATTTTTTAATCGCTAATTCATGACTTCAAATAATATAAATTATAGTTATATATAATTTATCTTTAAGTCTATATAAGCCTACATGATATTCTCTTGTAGGATAATATTCCCAAACAACCAATCCACAATTATTAAAGTTTACACTCATTTTTATTTTGATTCTTCTATATGACATATCTCTCATACTTCGGTTAACCGCACTTAAGAATCACTAAATCTTTGACAAATTTTGAATAATGATGTAATAGCACTCCCAATGCCTTGTTTTCTCTTTAAAATTAATTTATGAGCACAGAAGTGCATAAACAAAATTGTTCTATAGCAAGCAAAACACAAGCTCCCCCATTAGAAACAATCACAACATCCCAAGTTTAAATAAAAATTAACAAAGATATACTTGTATGATAGCCCCAGAGGCAATAGAAAACTCACAGTAAATTGATCTGGCCTGCGAGATTGAGATGCAAGAAAATGCAATCTCATAGATGCGATAAGCTTGTATTCTTTGTATAATGAATAGCATGTCCAAAAGGTAAAGACATAAGCCATGATTAAATGTGCCCAAAACCTGACAAAAAAAAAAACCAAAGAATTGTCACAATATTGTCGTACAAAACACTGCATCGTTTTCTCATGATGAAGAGTGATATTGCTTTCTCTTATATGCAGACAAAAAAAAATCAAGTAACGGTGAGGCATAAGTCAAAAGTACATTAACAGTCTACTACGAATTAAATTTTCATGCTGTACAAGTAAGAAGAGATGATAATGACTCACTGGATGAAAAGGCACAACTCATAGCTCGTGGATTTTTCCAAGAGAACAACATTGGTTATAAAAATTTTAAAAATTATTCCTTGGGGCAACCTCTTTGGGCAACTTTTGGCATATATTAAGTATATAACAGTATATAATTTGGATCAAAAGGTTTATAAGCCTAGCTTCTGGTTGGATCAAGGGTTGACCTCTTTATTAACCCAAGATGAAGAAAAAAACTGGTATGCTTGAAGTTCATTCTAACTTGCTATCTGGCAATTTCAACCATGTGGCAAGTAAATGCAAGTTGCTTGACATGATCCATGCACTACTATTCTTCAGAATGATTAACATCATTACAGCTATTAGCTTAGATTTGTTTGATCTGACATAAGAGAGTGGAAGTGGGAGAAAATGATTTTTTCTACCCAAGGTATGACATATAATACTTTTAGCGCTTTAACTCACCCTCATGAACTCTAAATTCTCTCAAAACTAAATAGAAATGATAGTCATTTCCCAACAAAAATAAGTATATGCAACATACATGTATATATGCATATCAATTATACAACCACTTGCAGAACTATGGCCAATTCATAAAATAAATTTGAATTTGAATTTTACTAGTACTAGAATGTTTTCAAGGAATGATACACCAAGACAACCCCAATGAGATAAGTAAGGCGAAGGTGTGCTCAGATGTCTCATGTAAGTCATTGATTACAAATTAACCCATATAGCAAAAGGTAGGCGACGGTTTGACTAAGGCGTCACGCTCTTAATTAATAAGGCGCATGACACCATTCTTGGATCCCTAGAAAAGATCATGGCAAGTGTTAGATATGGTGTTAGATCAAGCAAGGGAAGAGTATGACTTAGCAAAGAGATGGAAAAGGAAAAATAGATGGTAGCTGCTGTCTCGCCTGGAGGACAGCAAAAAATAGGCATCAGGAGAAAAAAAATGATGTGATACAACGTCGAGGATGATCCATTGCATGTCACTATCAAGCTACAAGCATACCACTTGAGTAGGAAAATGATACAACTCTCTTAAGGAGTGAAACTCAAAGAAAGATATCTCTGCTATCATAAAAATGCAAATGGTGCATAACGAAGTTCTAATCAAATTACTTAGTAGTAAGGCATAAATTAAACCTGATTCTACTTAAGTAAAACATAGATATGAGGCCTCCAAGAGGCCCTACATGGCCTTCAGGCTAGAAAGATCTCTTTACCAGATCTCCCGGGGCAAAAATTTTGCCTCTTCCTTCAATTCCCACCGCTTGAGCAAGAAATAGCTCCTGTGTCATTGTCCTCAAGTAGGATAGGCTTTGCCTTAATATTTAGAATCTTATGAATTCACATACTATGGCCACAAATCAATGAAATTAAATACAGTAGAAATATTATAATTTCCCGACAGCTCAATCTTATAAGCATTCTCAATATTCTTCTTGATAATTCTAAATGGACCATTAACTCTAGGCCTAAGTTTTTCGAAAGAACCTATAAGAAGCATCTCATTCTTCAATCCAATCCACACCATATCACATTCTTCGAACCATAGCTTTCTTGGACTTGTAAACTTGCTTTTGATATTTGATATTCTTTCTAGTAATTATTTTTTCACATAATCATGCTGCTGAGAATCTTTCTAATTCTAGACTTTGTGTCAATACTAAGGGTGATAGTGGGTAGAATAGGCATTAACTCTAACAGCATGAGAGGTTTTTGCCCGTACACAATTTCAAAGAGGTTGTGACCCGTGGATTGATTGGTGGACGTGTCGATGACAAATTTAACCTAAGAAATAATCAAATCCCATTGCTTGATGTTATTTACCATAAAACACCCGAAAAGACTCCTCAAACTATGATTTGTTGCTTTTATCACTCCATTTGTCAATTGGTGTAATGTTGAACTAAATTGGAGCTTTGCACATAACATATCGCATAAAACCCTTTTTGGAAGAATGAATAGCCGTCAAAAATGTAATATTGATCATAAGGTCTCTTATAACAGCAAGCCTAAATCTCTTTAAGTGTTCATCAATGGCATACAAATCCTTCAACACTTCAAACCCAACCACCGTAACCTGTATAATAGAAAACAACATATGATCGTAACTCAAGGCATCATATACCATATTTTGATTCCCAACTTTATGCTTGAGCAAAAAATGAAAGGAAAAAAATAATTCAACTCATGAGGTGTCTCTGCCTTTTAGTTTACACTAGATGTTCAAAAATCTCAATGCCTCATGATCAGTGTAGTGAGTGAACTCGTTCGCTAGCAGATAATGACTTAGATGGTTGAGTTCTCTCATTATAGCACAAATTATTTGCATAGGTGGAGTACTTTTGCTTTTAATTATGTAGCTTCTCACTAAAGAAGGCTATAGGATATTCTTCTTAACTCAGTAAAGCACTAATTCCCACATCCGACGCATCACAGTGTCTCAAACACTTAGCTAAAATCTTGAAGAATTAGAATAGACGCCCGGGTAACTTATAGCTTTAATGCTTCAAAATCAGTATGGTTTCACTTGGCTTAGTGAATATGTTTGACATGAGAAGCTTAATCAAACAAATCACTATAAATTTAAAATTTCTAATAAAACTTCTATAAGTAGAGGTCAAACCTTGAAAATGACATACCTAAATAAATTACTATGGATTGAGCTAGTTAATAGTAGCCTAAATTTTGTTTGGATCCATCTCAATGTTAAGTGTTGATACAACATATCCATGGAAATAAGTTTGTGTAGTCATTAAATGACACTTCTTTAGGTGTCCGTCTAATTAGGATACTTGAAGCACCTCAAAATTCTCTCGTAAATGCTATAAGTGATCCTCCACTATGAAATTACAACAATATATCATAAATATACAACCAGACATCAAAACTTGAAGATGAATCACACTAAAAAATTGCTGAAAGAGGAGATGTGGAGCTCTTTAAGGATAGTTCTCTTTCCTCTATTTTATATGTTCCACAATTATATTATAATTTAATTTCGATTAGTAAACTTACTCATGATATGAAATGTATAACTAAATTCCTTGTAAATTCTTATAATTGTAAGTAGTGGATTCGGGGAAATTGATTGGCAATGTTAAAATGCCAACAAAATTGTCTCTCTAAACAAAAGTTGTCCCAACTCCATCTTTTCCTCAAGTCTCTAAGTCTGTCAAGTCTATGTCTTTTAAAAAATAAGTCATGTTATGGTATTGTCGCATGAGTCATCCTAATATAAATTATGTTGCAAAATTATATCATCATTTGTTAATATAGAAAAACATAGTACTTATCCATCCTCAAAACCGATAACTTAATGGAATACTTCAACTCCATCCTTAGATCCTACCTTTTAAAAAAATGGAATCATCCATGTGAGTTCATGTAATGATGCCCCAAAGCAAAATGGAATAGCTGAAAGAAAAAACAAAAATCTTCTTGAGGTATCGCGCTCAATTATGATTTCTTATCAAGTTTCAAAATATTTTTAGGAGGAAACATTTTTTACTAAACATGCCATATCAAATAACTGCCTATTCGGCTACTTAATTTTACAATACTTCATGTCTTGATGGATACAAGTCCCCACATTAGAGCTTTCTCTTCTACTGTACCACTTAAAATTTTGGGTGTGTATCGTTTGTTCACATCAATTCTCCAAACCACACAAAAAACGACCTTAAATCAATCAAATATATTTTCTTTGGCTATGCCCTCGACAAAAATGGTTATATGTATTATGCGGCTATTACAAAAAAATACAACTACATGAATGTCACATTTTTTTTTAAAATCAGTTCAACTATCTCAAATCTAATGTTCAGGGGGAGAGTACTTGAATATCAATTTTGAAATATACTAAATGACACACTACCTCACAATCTACCCCTCTTCCACCAAGTCCTTCTATCATCCAAACAACACTGCATGAAAATATCTTAGTCCAAATAATGATATGCATATAACTTATAACTGTGGACCACATGGGCTCACCCACTGATTAGGAAAACAGGAATCCGCAACTATATTTGAGGGGGAGAAATTATTATCCCTTAATTATCCATTATTGGGTGTTTTATTTCTTTCTTTCTTATCATAATGATTTGAATTTCTCTCCAATCCAATTATATAAGGGTTAGTCTTAGCTATAAATATATTTGTTAGTTGCTTAATGAGAAAATTACAGTTTTTTTTTCCTTTAAGAAAGTTCGTGCTAAATTTCTCATCATATCAAAGCAAAGAAACAAACTCTAGCTCTCATTCTTCCATTGGAGCCTCTAGCTGCAGTCATCCGAACCTGCAAGCCCTCCACCGGATCCCTTGTTACTCCAGGTTTTTTCTTCTTATAATTATGTATTAGATCAGCTTCTTCACAATTAGATCTCATCAACTTGAAGTTATTGCAATCTCTTCACCTTGCAGCTGAATCGAAGCAAGCTGGGTTGAACGTGAAATTCGGACACCCTTCCAACCTTCCGCGATATGCAATTCCATTGGCTTGCAGCTAGGTCAAACATGAAATCTAGACACCCTTCTGAACTTTTGCAAAACCCGCATGCTTTTCTTGAAGGACAGCCTTCCAATCTCTAGTGGAAATCCCAGATAGAAGAATCGATTTTTTCTCTTTGATCTTCTCTGTCTAGCTCCTGCTCGAAAATCCTAAGTGGGTTTGAACTTTCTATCTCTGGTGTAAATCCCATACACCTCGGCTCTTCTATGATAGGAATTTTGTGTCAACGATAAACGATCTCTCTGGCGACAAACAATTTCTCTCTCTAGCAAAAATTCTAT